TTACATCAGAAATTACCATAGTAGAGTAATTTTATATGAAAAAATTAAAATAGTTATATTATTTGGATAATAAAAAAGGTTTTCTGATTTATTTATGAGTAAGAGAAATCCAACTTCACGTTACACACCTTCTCCTGACAACACCTAATCCTGCCTGAAGAACTTCAGAAGGCAGATGAACTGAGGAAATCAGCACTCGGACAAGAAGCAAAACTTGTTAAGAAAAAAATATTTCAAACTCTCTTAAAAAAAACCCCTTTCTTCTCAACCACCTTGCTTCTTTGAAATACTAAGTTTTAGTATTTTAGCTTTATTTATCCCTTCCCCCCCATTCTGACAGAGTCAGTAAAGTTCTGAAATACAATGGAGTCCTCACCTTTTACAGGCAGATTTCTCTGTCAGCAGCTCTGGAGAAACATACTGTGCTGTCCCTACAAATGAGTTTGCCCGCGCTGGTAATAAAATTGAAAGAAATAAGAAATACATACTTATGGAGAAGCCAACCTACCCCTTCCCCACTGCCCCCACCCAATAAAAAAAAAATCCCCAAAGGCAATCTACTATTGCAAGTTATGTAATGCTACAAAGAACCCACAGGAATTTAATTTCTCTACCCATCCACAAAACCTTCCTGGAAGAGATAAATCAACAGATCTCAGTGACATCTAGTTGGTTCAAGAAGCTAGGCATTTAGGAACTTTGTTAGGTATAAAATCTACCAACACAAGCTTACTTTATTCAAGTAAAAAATTAAGTTTATCAAATTCAGTTCAGCCTAGTGCTTTTTTCAGGCATTGTGTCCAGCATCATTGATTCACAGGTTAATTCTAAGCAACTAGTGACACAAGAATTCTATAACCTTCACATTTGAGCAATGCTGATCATCACTGGGGTTTAATACATGAGCAGAGTAACAACTTACTCTTTCAGCTGAGCCACAGTAACTATTAGTTTATACTCTTGTTTTGCAAATTAAAAGTAATCTGAAGTAGTTTGCCTTCCCACTATATTTGGTGATCTAGCTGGCTATACCTCTACACCAAATATAATCTCTTGTGACACGATCTAAGAAGTGACAGTCAAACCTTTTTCAAGATCTCTCAGCGATTTTGTTAGATAAGAGGTAATGATATTTGAAGAATATAATCTGGTAATTACAACACATACATTTTCAAAGGACCACTTGCTCTAGTTATCTGTGTCTCGTGATGAAGTAACAGCATACCTTGTCTGCTATCTGCAGATAATACTTTTGCTGTTCCAAAGTCTGTTATTTGAATATGCATATCTTCATTTAGCAAGATGTTCTCTGGCTTAAGGTCCCTGGAAAAAGCAGATTTTTATATTTAAACAGCATGCAAATTACAGTTGCAAAACTGTCTAGTGACTTATGTACCTTACGTATACGATATCATAAATGATGCAGGCATTCTATAAACATTGTTATGTCAGCTTTCCACTAACTTGTAGCTGTCAACATGCAGACTGCTAATGGATTTTGAAAAGCCCCTTAATTAACATTTTTTCAAAAAAGACCTGAAGTAATGAATAATCTCAAAAATAAGCTATTATGCATCTCACTTGTTCAATAAAAATGAAAAAAAAAAAAAAACAAACAACCACACTTTCACTCCCAAGCTTTAATTTAAATAACATCTGACAGATTGATATGGCAGTAAAATCTTTGAGGCCTGTTTAGTCAGTGCAAAACTCCAGTTAGTCAAACAATGGCACCCCCCAGCTAAACATCCAGAACAGATAAAAATTGTAAAGCACCTCCACTCTTTAAGAATGGCATGTATGTCTGTGACATACAAATCCATGTATAATCTGTATTTCAAAGATATGCATACCATTTGTATGTACACTGCCTCCAATTCTGCATAAAACCAGACCTCACAGTAGCACACACACAATATACAGCAACACAGAGTTAGATGTCAAGAAGTTAATTTATCAACAACATAAAAACAGCATTGGGCTACACTCATGATATTATTTACTTTGCACCAAGTTTCTTCAGTTGACAAGAAAAGCTGACATACTTCCCTTCTAAGAAGTATCTTTGGGTGCTCACAAAGAAATCTAGAAGCATGGGAGTTGTTTTGATTGACTTGTAAGAAAAAACAGTGCAAATTCAAAGCTGTTTCCACCAACCACTTATGAAAAGGCAGCGTTGTGCAGTTGTGCAGTTTAAAGTCTATGAACTAGCACAGAGAGCAACTGGTATGAAGGAATTATGACACACAAGTCATAAAAATCCTGTTCATTTTCCTGTAGCCATTCTCAGAGAGAAAGTGAAAGTAAATTAATGGAATTGACCTTTCTAACAGTTGTTTGTTGTGGGTTTTTTTTTGTTTACACATACATATGTATGTGTGTACATATAGTACTCTATACACAGTTTATATAATATATCACATACCTATATTATATATTAATTTATATTTGGATCTATGATATATCTATATATCTAGACACACAGAGAGATGCATCTGCAGTAACTTTCCCAGAGTAGACTGGCATCTTAAAGTAGTTCAATCTCATGTCATCTTTCTTTAGGCAGCAGAAAATCCCCAAAGCTTTCAGGAAGTGGTAAAGCTTATAATGAAGTATAAAGTTTATATAAAGTTCTCTAATTGCACAAATCCACTGTTTTCTTTTGAGCTTCTCATAGTGGCCTTCATATGAAGACAAATATAAGGCAGCTCTTTTATAATACAAGATTTTCAATATAGGCTTATAACCTGGCAATCATGTTATATTCATTTTATAAGCATTCTCTGAGCCTAACACACAGACTATAAAATCAAAGTGAAACTGGGAGTTCTTCAACTTCTCCATCCCCCCCAGTAGAAAAGTTTATGCTTTTAGTACTCTCCAGATCTAACCCCCTTAGATCTATTCCCAACTATTTTACAGAAAAGTATTAGGAGAAAAGACCATCCTTTTAAATATAACTGAAAGAAGTAATAATACTGTCAGAATTATAGTCAGCCAGCCTTTTGCCAACTAGCATCTACTGTTCCATGAACAGCTGCTTGGAAACCTACAGACAATTTTTTTACCCAGAAAGAAGCTCTGTGGCTCAGATTTCTCACACTTACAGCTTTAATTTGTTTAATAAACATTCTTATCCAGACAATATAATTACATCAAGAACAACTGTGAGGGTCCTGTTAAAAACTTTGCTAAATTTCACCATTTACCTAGTTATTGTTCAGCTTTGTGGAAAATGTTCACTCAGTGAAAAGTGACATACATTAATTTTACTTTTCTTGATGACATGCTGTACACTAATTCACACACCAGCAGAATTCTGGTTACTTTTGGTACACGATACCACAGCAAAGAAAAAAGTAGTTAACCAAAGAGTCAGTTTCTGGTTTTAGACCAACTGATCAAGCTTGAAAGAGAGAAGCTTTTGGTAACATTAATTCTAGGCCAAAAAGTTTTCTTACTTTTTCCCTGCTGGACCAGTTGGTCTAGTAACAGAGACTGCCTTTCCCCCTAAAGTTTTTTTTGTTTATCTCCCTATGGTAACAGCAGTACTGATGCTAATGAAATGCTATTATGCTCTCATTAGCTTTCCATGAAATCCACGTTTGCTTTAGACTTCATAAAGAACATTTCTAGAAAAAGCACCTTGTGCATAATCAAATGCATGTTGATCTCAACTTTGTATTACCTGTGAATTATTCCTTTCCCATGCAAATACTCCAGGGCTGATACAATTTCAGCGGTATAAAACCTGGTACAGGTCTCATCAAATGAGCCAATTTTGCGTATATACTTTAGCAGCTCTCCATTTTTGGCATAGCTAAGCCCAAAATCTGAATTTAAGTATAGTTAAGGTCTATCACTACCCCATTCTAAAACAAAAAAACCCACACCTCATTCCAAAGACAAGAATAATACTAAAAAACACAAACAACGGGGAAGAAGTTGGTTAGTTTGAAACTTTACATGGCAGCAACGTAAAACAATTTCTTAAATACATTAATAACCTGGGACACAGGTCCTGATTTCTTAGCATAGCAAAGGGTTAAATTTGTAGTTTTTCCAGACAGTCACCTGAATAATTCATTTAAACTGTATACATATTGCCCTCAAAGAGAACTATTTACAGGCATTCAACGAGCATTCAACTTAAGTTTAAAATTGCCCCATCATCTGGAAAGTTCCAAAGTCAGCCCAGTGTTCAAGGGGCAAGTTTTTACATTACAAGAGAGCCCCGTAAGTTCTGTTGCTGCATGCGTGTACAACGTATGTACATACACACAGATGACACAGGGCCTGTCAGCACTGCTAGCAGTCTCTGTGAAAAACAGCTACTTACTGACCCCAGAAATGGGCCGATCTATCCTTTTACCCTTGGCACAGCCAATTCGAAGCAGGAAATTTAGGAGGAAATTCACATGATTAAGGTTTTCTTCACAAGAAGAAAAAAGCCAACTGCAAGCCAATGAGCTTTCAAGATGAAACTGCACTTTGCAATTACTGCTAGAAAGAGAACTTGGGTAACAGTGGCCCAAACAGAAGAGTTTCAGCTTTCTATCATTCAGATCATTCTGTAAGCACTTTTACATAAGAAAAATTTTAATAGACCTAATTGTTCAATTAAGAAATATTAGTAAATAAAGCTGGCTACCCCTATATTTTAAACACAGGAATTGTGGTATTTTACTGTATATATCAGAAATAAAGCACTTCCAAAACATTTCTCACATACCCCCCCTCCTTTTTTTTTTATTTTATTATTTTAAACAGATTGTTGCAAGTTGCCCTTCAGCATTTACCATGTGGACAATACAAGTTGTTTTATTCACCCCCCCTGTCCCGCAAGTCACCCACTGTTCTCTTTGAGGGGGCACACTCATTCTACTTGCTTAACTTCTATTAAAAGCATGACTGCAAAAATTGCATCGCAAACACAAAGATATTTTAAATACCTCAAGTTATATTCACCATTCATGTTAAACAATGTTGCAAAGGAACCAAAAGTGGGGATTGTTACTTTTAAGAAAGTGTTACAGCAAGTTTTAAAACGCAAAGGATACATAGCTTTTCATCATCCTGAAAGGTGAAGTAGAGTTTCACAAAGAAAGGGTGATCCAGGCGGGACATTACATCTCTCTCTCGTGTCACATATGGCACCTTGTTTTCTTTTATGATATGACGTTTTTCTAGAATTTTAACTTAATTAAAAAAGACAGAGTGAAAATGCAGGAGGTATAACCAAATGAAGTCCATCTAAGTAATTTGCTTGGGGTTTTTTTTTGGTTAGATAAAATTATCATAAAACCACTAATTCTGTCTTTTGAACAGGTGTTTTGTAACAGGACTACATTGATACTGTATTTTTAAAGAGTTCATGTTGAAGGAGTCAATACTTACTGGCATATTCTCTAGAACTTGCCAATTCTCGAGCCAAGACAACCTGTTGCCAGAGGAGAGAAAATATATTGTAACCAGTCATTAAAGACATATGCTAACATTGATTTTGATCTTCCAGCAAGTATTTAGAGTACTGATTGTCAATTGTAATGTAAGTCACAGTAAATTGCCAAATCTTCTTAAGGGGGGAAAAAAACCAAACAAGTGCACTGACGAATATTTATAGGAATCCACCACAGTACTTCTTAACATAAATGGCAAAGACTGAAAGATAAATGTTATCTGAAAAATCTGAAGTAAGAAGTAAGACAGAGCTTTCAACTACTTACTGGTTGTTAGGAAAAAGATTTAAAGAAAAAGAATGAGAGATTTCCAATCAGTAGAAGCAAGGCATAAAGTTTCAGGCAAGCAGTTCTACATTTTTAAAGAGAAAAGCTTTTGGAGGAAGACAAATTAAAGCTCATATTCAAGAAAGAACTTCTATAAAAGGACACTCTCAAGACAATCTGAAAAGTTCTCTTGCATGAAAACGAGCAATAACCTTGCAACAATAGATGACTACAGTTTGTGTTTTTCTCATTTTAAGTTTATATCCATTCCAATACCTCGCTAGAATCTCAACATTATACTAATATTTTTTTAAATCACTGCACCAGGCTTGCGTCTAATCCACTTCTCATATTCTAACCCCTTGCAAATTCCGTTTATAAAAGAGTACTCCAAAATACTATTACATACACCTGATACTAAATGCTAGGCATTTAGAAAAAAGAGCTTCTAAATAAGGCACTTTTTCAGGTGAAAGGAGTACACACAGTTGCTCTCTTTCACGGTATTTGATCAATGAAAATTTCCACTAAAAACAGTCTGTTACAAGCTGCATCTCTGCATAGGGAATTTTTGAGACCCTTCTGTGTACACAGGTAACATTATTTAAAGCTGTGCAATCAAATGAGAAATGTTCTTACCTTTTTAATTTTTCTTGCCAGGTTTCATCAATCAAGTGTACCATTAAAGCTACTGAAAGCAGGCGACTTTAAAAGTCAGTTGTTAAATAAATACCCAGATATATAGTGCTAACTTTCTGCATTTTAGAAACTGATACTTCTACATTTTCATAAAACAATTCAGTGCCATCAGTAAAACAAAAATCCAATAGGTAGCCTTGACTATATATACACACATACTGAGTCCATAGTCAGATGGCAGTAGCAATCAACTGACACAGATGAAAATATATCTTGGCTAATACTTATCAAACTTGAATTTAGGCTGTATAGCTCCACACACTGACTCTCCTCCAGTAGAAGCTGAGAAAGAATACTGGAGAAGTATCCCTGTTCTTACTTTATTCCCTAAGTATCTGGCAGTAGCTCGCGCCACAGACAGGACACTGCATAGAAGTTCTTACCATGACAAACTCCTAGCCCAGTTCTAATCAATTATATCATAAAATTTTAATGTAACCCATAATGCTATCAAACTTACATTAGAAAGCAATGTCTCCTAAAAATCCAAGCATCAAGTCATCAGGATATAAAGGAACTTCCCATGAGTTCAAAAGATACTTGAAAAATCAGCACTCATTTAGTGCAACACTTAATTTTTATACTAAAGCTTAAAACTACTATGTCTCGCTCATTTACTCTTCAAGCTGTTCTCTCCAGATTTAAATCTCAGCAATATTACTTGAACAACAAATTTTGAAGATAATCTATTTGGCACTTCTTATAAAAACTAAAGTTACCGTTGAAAAAGATCCTTCACCCAGAATCTTCCCAAATTTGAAGTCATCAGGCCGTTTCTTTCGAGGCTGTGGAGGCTGCTGTCCTGTATGTTGCTGCAAGGAATTTGAACTAGATCTTGATTCAGCTGCAGTGCCCTCCATGTTAGATCCCTGTCTGCTGCCACAGGTGGAAATGACAGATGGAGTGCTGGAATCTGCTTGGTTCCTCACCATTGATGGGGATGAACAGGAGCATAACACTACACTAGACTGGATTGGAACAGCATCATACTGAAAAAGAAATGAAAGTGTTATTCCCATACCTTCAAATAATTACCATGCACATCCGCACTTCAGTTCCATATGAGCATCATATAAAGTCCAGTTTGAAAGAGTTATCATTAAAATATCCTTAGAAGGGAATGTTGGTATTTGCTTTGGAAGTGGCAACTCTTAATTTGTTAAACAACTCTGTTTAGGTCATGCTCCACACATACATATAGCCATGAGTCAAGTCTGAATTCAAGAATGTTTTTTCCAAACTCAAAAAAAACCAAACAAACCCTCCTTAATACCAAGGCATGAAATTTCACAGTATATTGTCCTACAAATAACATGATCTTTAAAGTTTACATCATGCTTAGAGACAGTCACCTATCCAATCTTAACAAGTAGCAGTTTTCCTGAAATTAAAAGAATTATCTAGTTATGCAATGAACACCTGTATTTATGAGTCACATTAAAGATCCAATTTACAATGAATTGTAAACGAACAAGTCAAGCATGAAAACTTTAATGGAGACAAAGGATACATTCCTACATTTTTACTTGAAATCTCACTTTCTCCAATAGTATTTCTCTTTAATACACATTGGAGAAAGACAGGAAGAAAGAGAGAACAACACAAAAAAGGCAGATCAACTGGAGGGTTTAATAACCAGCAATATTTAATATTTTTTTCTGAAGAATGCTCTGGTCCATGACCTTTTAAGACAAGGGTCATTACACTATTTAAATTGTACATATGGTCACATAAAGACATTCCAATTCTGAAACCAAGAATCAGATATAGCCCAGAAAACAGCAAGTACAAGAAGATACACTCAAAATACAGATTCTTGTAATATACAAAGCAAATCATAATTTGGTACCCTTTTATCAATTTTTCCCAAGTAAGACCAAGGAAACTTGTCCAGCTGCTTTCCCCTCCCTGTTGGTAATATATCTCCATTAGTCTGCCAGGTGTCTGCTTCAAATGTATCACTTGAAACTGTCCAGAAAACACAGACAATAGGAGATCTCCGCTGAACTACTTCTAATAATAAAAACTGAGATGGTATGCAAACAGAGGGAATATTTAAGAAAATTAAACCCATGTCTGAGCATTCTTTTTTAATCTCCATATTCTAACATACATCCAGCAGAATGAAGCTACGACTTAATGAAAACCTCCTAACCTCAAAACAGACATATTATACAACCCCGACCTAGTCTGTAACATACCTCATGTTGATAATCAAATAAACACTACTTCTGACAAAAAGAATTTTTTATCTCATGAATTTCAATTTGATTCAGAACAATTTTCTGCATTTCTATCAGAAACCACTTTAGAAGGGAATTGGACTTGCATTCAACCATGCATATGGGCTTAAAGCACCTAGCTCCCAAATTAGCAATTACTCACTTGGCTGTGCTCTATGCATTAGGGAAAAGCAGTCCTTATTTACTGCTAAACTTCTTTCAAAAATAAGATACAATTCAGAAATACACTTTACTTACACATTTAGTGGCGTTATAGAGCAACGAGACAGAAATATATTTAAGCATGCAAACGTATACTTTCTAAATTGTGACAAGGGTAACAAGGTCAAAAAGAGTACAGCTACAACTCACCGTTTTCTCCATAATTGATATATAAATATCAGTTCGCACAAGATTGAAAGTTAACTACTATTAAGCAACTGTTCTAAACAATATCTTCCAAGAAACGTAAGGGAAGATTACCTTTCCAATCTGAGCTCAGCCTACTTGCTCCAGGACCTCTATTGCTCCTTAGGGCTTTTTCCAAGAACTATGACTACTCCGACAGGGCAGCAAATCAAGAACAGGTAACAGCTTCTCTTATTAGACCTCTATCTGAGCTTTGTGATACAGCAGAGACTGATGAGGAATCTGCCTAGAATGATAGCTATTTGCTGTATTTTGTACAGCTTTTGTGAGGACAAAAAGGGGGAGGGGGAGGGAGGGGAGGTGAGGCTGGCAGAAGATTTGGAGACAGATGGGAGAATTTTGCTTTTCAAAAAGTTCACTAACTCCCACGGAGAGCAGTATATGCCCCTACTCAGAATCAGTTACACAGCTTTCTTCCCTTTGAAGAGACAAAAGTATATTGATGCTATTATTATGAAAACAGCACATACACATTAAAGCACGTGTGCTCTAGGTCACAATTCCTTTTATGCCTTCTATGCAAATATTTTAGCTGACACCTTCACCAGACCAGGTATTGTTCCTAACGTTCTTGTAGCCCAGCTGAATCACCTTTCCTTCCAACAGCTACTGAAACAGCAGCTTGTACGCATATACACAGTAGCTATAATTAAAAACAGATTGTACTCTTTCCTAACAAGAGTGCAGCAAGGCTGACCCAAGCATGACTGCTCAACAACTGAAGTGATGCCAATGTAAGAAACATCCGATTAATTGAAATCTAGTAAATAAAAAAATACAGACTAAATATTAGGATTTAAATGATGAACTGGCTCCAGTCAGTCTATTATAGAGCAACTAAGGGTTTATGTGTAAATAAAGCAGCAGCATCGTGGGGAATCTGATCAGATTCTGCAGCTAGCAAGATCACCTTGAAAAACAAACAAACAACCACCACAAAAGCACCAGAGAACACAGAGAAAGGGGGGGGGAAGGTGTTGGATGCAGTATATTTCCTTGCACAGTATCTGAAACTAAGTCACAATGAATATCAAGTATAGAAAAGCCCTAAGGGAGGAAGAAACAGGAGTAAAGGACTTTGCAGAAAGAGAAGGTTATTTCCAGCCAAGGTATAACGTCAATTAGTCCCCTGATTTCTCAAAGGAAAGTCAAGATTAAGAACAAGAAGGACAGAGGAAGATGCAATAGATTTAAAGTATCAGTTACCTAAGAAGTGACAGAACTATGCCACTAGGTATGTTGCACCTGAACATTTATAGCAAAGGTCACTTCTACACTTGCCTTTCCACACTCCACATATTCTTCTTTAGTATTTTGCATCCTGTATTATTTACTTTTCCAGTTTTATTTTGAAAGATATCAAAAACCACATCTGCAGAGACTATACATGTTTCTACATATATGTCTTCACGTATGCCAGATAGTACAGGCTAGCTCATCTGGTCTAACCTCATACAGCCACTCTTCTGCAAAAATTAGAATTAAGATTCTGCTTCTGCTAGATACAGACTTCTTTTAGTGAGATATGAAGTCAATCACTAAAGAATTTAAAAGCCTTCTAAACTGCGCCTGCAGTTCTTAGAAGCTTGAGGATAATTGATAATTCCTTCCAGCAATTATCAACATTTCTCAGCTGGCAAGCCAGTGAAAGCACAGACCCTTGCTACTACAGACAACTAACTTACCTATTGCATGTCACAGATCACTGTGGACCACACTGATAACCACTGATCTTATCATTCCATCTCTGGTTTTAAAAACTAGTCTCTAACATTACCTACTTTCCCAAGCTCTTAAGGGTGCTGTTTCTAATTTACTTCCGTATACAAATTGTTTCCTTCTTAGTGCAACACACTGAGTTTGAAAACCTAATAAGGAAGAAAACAACAAATCTGCTGAAGGTAAGTGGAATTATACATCAGCAGACATAGCAAAATCTTCATTAACTATTTTTCACTAATTACTAGAAACAGGTTTCCTTTTATTTATGTGTCATGCAAAGTAAGGCCTTTTATTGGTTTTTTCCCCTCTTGCCTGCAAACAGGAGAAATAAACCTTAAGAGAATAAAACCTGAATCAATGCAAAATGCCAACTAGGTATCATTGCATTTTTCCTTTCGTACTTTCCTTGCTCTTCTTTGTACAAGTCAGTCACAGGGAAAGCTCCCAGCTATCTGAAAGGACTTATACCTTTCAGAAACTTTTTTGCAATTCAGCATTTTGACAACAGCACTACCACTACAACTTCTAATGTATCTAAGCACATAGTATGCAAGTACAACCACAACAACTGCATCTCTACTAGCGTTTTCCCACTGCAAAATCTGTGATGCTGTTTTGCCAATGCAGTTCTATCAACACTAACAGAAGCAAAAAGAACTTGCAGAGACTGGGCCTTCTGAAGCTCCCAGTATCTTTTACTTCTATCCTAACTGACATGATACTCTCAGTCATCTTCAGGGGTCAGTATCTTTGCTACCACTCAAACTCTACCAGCAAAATCTCTTTTCTGTTACCATCAGCGTGAATAGGGTGCTAACCTATCACTTGTCTGATAACACTGACTCTACCCGCTGACTGTATTGCTGAATCTCCAGCTGCCTTAAGACATAGGGTAGGCATGATCAGAAGAGCTCTTCCACCCACTTACCTATAAGGCCAATTCTTTAGGAAGCAGACCTTGCTAACACAGAAAGTATTATTTACAGAAAGCAACATGCACTCTACACCTCAACTGGTACCGTTGTTTTGGTTATAAACAATGCTGATGAGACTGTATAAGTGAGAACACTGGCAGAACCGTCTTATGAATGCTTTTTATGGTGAACTGTATTACAGGTCTATTAAATGAAATAATGCAGATAGACATCCATAAAACATTTGACTTCGCATTACATAATGCCTGAAATACAGAATACTGTTGAGGAAAATGAATATAGGACATATTCTAAGTAAAGCTGGTAAAATTCTTAAACAACTTATAATTAATAGTCATCCCCAAACAAGGATCTCTTCTAGTTCACACCTGGATTGACTCTCAAACCAAAAAGGTTGAAAGAAAAAGAATAACTGCATAAATTTAAAGACTGAGAAAAAAACACCACCACACCATTTGGCAAAAAAGTGTATGTCTTACTTAAAGCAATCTACAGCTTTTGGTAAATGACACAGATAGTGAGATCTTACTTTTGTCTCTATCAAAACATTACTACAAAATAAAATATGGGCCAAGAATTTAGGCATAATGGTGGGAAACACGTGGACAAAGAACTTAAGCTAGTCCATACCTAAATATATAAAACTAGAAACCATGAACTAGGGAAGCATGTCTT